TCCAGGCACAAGAGCAGTTCGGCTGGCTTGGAAGGGAAAATTAGCGGGTTTGCAGTGTTCCATTTCCGGTGTGCGACCGCATCGCATGTATTGGCTCTAAGGCAGAAAAGAAAGACAGGACAGGGTAAACACCCATGTCCTTGCCCCGACTAGGGTAGGCCGGCGGGGGGAGGACGGGCAATGTGGAGGCGGGAGGAGAGGCCCCCTCCCCCTGTTCCTCGTCCCTTCTTCTCTGGGCTGAAAATACTTTTTCTGGCACTTTTTTCATCGCCTACGCAAATCACGTGGCACTCTTCAGCCGAAAACGCATCCTTTACCCAGTTCACACAGTCGTCGGCTGCCCATGCTTTTCTTGCCCAGAGTGCTTCTGACTTCCAGCTGTTAGAAACGGTCCTTCTCCTTCCCATTGGGCGTAACAATTTCCAAAAATAAACCACCAAGACAGTCCCTAAAAGGCCGCTCGTACCGCCTCAAGACCTATGGTCTGCTATCCTGACTTTGCTTTTCGGGCCGTCAGCTTATGGCAACTCGTCGCGCCACCACGCATACCTTGCCTCCCGAGCTGGGGTAATCTCCGCAGAAACTTGGGATTGGGTCGCCTATTACCGTGCCAGCTGTCGTTTTTGCGCACCGGCTAACTCACGCGTGGAAAGAGGGAACAGGAACCTTCTACAATGGGGGCCGTGTAGATGTCCCACCCGATCGGGGAGATGTAACTTTGCAGCTCCACAAATGCAGCGACGACTCACATATCCACGTTTGATACCTCGCTCTGTTGATGCCCCCACGCTCCATCAGGCTTAACTTCGAAAGATCCCACAACCTGTGCGTGGTGTGGTACCCAACATTCAGTTGCTGGCCGCATAACTTGTCCGCGGCGTGGATCTAAACTAGAAAGTCATGCCTGGAGCATTTTAATGCTTGATCTTCATCACACTGCAGGAAGCGTATGCGGAGACAAACCGCGGGTTATTTTATCACTCGTCCGTAAGTCGTTCGCCCCAGACACCTCGGCAAAATTCAATCCTCGGCCAGCTTGCGCAGGCACATCGACAGATGCTGACATCCCGTTATGGACAAGGAAATCCAGGTCAGCCTTTAAAGGTGAATTTCGCGTATCGACGAGCGCCGCCACCACTGAGCATTTGGCTGAGCTAGCCTTAAATGGACCATGAGACTAGCCAAAGCACGTCTTTGCCCCAACAACACGGCTCGTGGCGGCTTCCGTGGTTTCCTCATACTAAGCAGAACAAGGCACATCCTTGATGGGTCTCGGGGGCTGCATCGCCTAATATCAAATAGGGGTAATGGAGGGGTGTTTGCTCCCCCAAGCGCGACCTCGCTGCTGTTGGCAGGAAAGGCGCGTCTGTGGAAGACGCGCGGGGGTCTCCACACTGCGGGCGGGTGCGAGAGCCACCGAGTCCGTACCTACGGGGCTGCAGCCTGTAGACTCTTGACGCCCCTGAGATACCATTATTTTACGAGTGCTGATGACGACTTGGGCAGCGCTGGCTCCTAAATCTCCGCTTTTCCCCACAAGGTCCGTGGTGCTTCTTTCATATGCCTCTAAGGCCGAGTCTTCTACAATAAGCCACGCTGCCCCCTCCCAAGGCCGTTTTCACCTTTCCGTCTGCTTGCGCCTCCGCCTTTATGATCAACAAATCCCCTTTCCCTCTTGGTGTCTGCCGTCCTACCTGAACTGTTCTTCGCTACGGAGTTTGTCAAAGTTTTAGCGGCTGTTGTGCCCACCCAATGTCGGGGCATACGCAGCCGCGGGTGCTTGAAGCACCACCCGCGTCCGACTACGCAAAAGGTTCGTCGACTCAGTATTTTGGTGGTCCTGTGGCCAACACGCCTCCAGGAGTGACGCCGCCGCACCCGCAGCAGTCCCGGGTGGGAGTATTCTCGACCTTCCCATCTCGCGACCCATCACCCTGGGTGTCCTCCCAGCCGCGCGTACACGCCGGCCCGCCACCCGAAAGGAGCAGCCGCGCAACCCAGGTGAGTCTTAATCCGAAGCAGGTCGCGATCGTAGAATTATGGCGAGTGTCCTGCTAACGCTTTTCCTATTGGGATCACTCTATAGGCGTGTGCTCGTTGCAGAGGTCTTAAGACGAGATGCAACGGGACGGATCCCTGCGAAGGCTGCAGAAGCAAGAATACCAAATGCACATACCCTGCCCCGAGACGCAATCCTGGAGATCTGGGTGATCTGGTAAGGCTGAAGTCGACCGTGGAGCGCCTGGAAACGACCGTGGAGCGCCTGGAAAAAAAGATGGACGACCTCGGGAGCGTGAAAATCCAGATCGCGAGGATCGAAGAAAAATGCGACAACCTCTCAAAGCTCTGTCAGGGAATGTACGACAACCTCTCGAGGCTCAACCAGGGAATAAGCGACAGTTTTGCCAAGCAAACGGACATGAAGCAGCTCGCGATGCTTGAGAAATTAAGCACTCTGGCCGCGGGTCTCGAAGGTCTCCGGGGCGATATCGGTACACAGTCCCCAATGCTCACGACGGAGTCACTGGGCACGGTGGACCCTAGGATAGCCGCGTTCCTGCCCATGACCGCTGCTAGAACGGCACAGTTGTGCCCGGAGATCACGTACATGTATGGAGGAGGATTCCCTAGGGTTATAACTGGACTGATGGATCAACCACTGCCGCCATGTTCCCTCCCGACACCGCCAACCGTATCGTTCACGCTCGAGGCCAGCAGCGCACACGCAGCCAGTGGGGAAGTGCGCCTAGACTGCTCCTACGGTCTTCCGGGCCCTTCACCGCCAGGCATAACCGGTCATTCCGAGCCCGATGCCTTCAACCCGTTCTCTGCCCATGCTCCGGACGAATAGGCCCTCCCCTCCCTATCAGCAGCACCCATACGTGTGTCAGGGGACCTGCTTACAAGCTGCTGCGTGGAGGGATGAAGGAGTGGGTAGCCACTGGGTATTGTATCTGCCCTCATTTTTGCTTTCAACCTTTCTGTTTTCCATGTATGGTGACAACGTATCGGTCCTCGAGTTCGACCCTTGATTTATTTAACACTCGGATGAGGGAGCGAGGAGTTTTCAGTTTGCCCAGTATTTGCGCAAGGGTCACCAGGCCGTAAGCGACGCCTTTTACCTGGTAAGGTCCCTGGGCTTGAAATATAAGTGGCCACCTCCCCCGATACCGTAATTAGTCTACATCTGTGTTCACATTACTTTCGAATCATCTGCGCTCCTATGGCTCAATTACTCAACACCGAATGGGTTGCTCTATGGCTTTCCTTAATCGACAGCGAAGGGATGTCGACTGGAAGCTCAACAACAAGGGAGAATAGTCCTACACGATACGAGCCATATAAACAGCCGGAGCTAAACCCTCTCCCAAGTGCCCTCTGGGATCAGCCGTTCGGGTTTCCGAGCGATGCCCCAGAACTAGACCCGGCCACATCTGAAAACCACAGTGGAGAAAGCACAGATCCGCCGCTCGGGTTTCCAGAAGATACCACAGAACTGCACCCGGAAATAAACGTCAGCGATTCCGATGGAGAAATCACAAACAGCTTGCCGGATACAGCCCCTCCTGGAAGTGTTTCAGAAGCCTTGTTCGATGGCCGGGCAGGGGTGGGCAAGCGGCCAGAGGGGGTGGCCAGGCCACTCACCAGGTAGGGCGACGGCAACTGGGCCAAGCAGCACGCACCCCTTCCCACCCTTCCGCTGGAAGTTCACCAAACACGTTGCGTGGTTGGGTGGCAGCATGTAAAGACTTCCGTTAACAGGCGGTGCAGCTTCCACGCGCCCACCGCACTTTTTATTGTGCAACCACCAAGACCTGCCGTCTGGCCGCTCACCGTACCGCTCGCGAAGACGGCATGTTTCCAGCCAAAACATGGCGTCCAATTACTTACGCATTACCCTCCCCACATGCCGCAGAGCCTTATGGAGGGGTGTAAGCCAGCCCTGGAAGCGAATGTTTGCTTGCCACTAGTAACAGATCATGCACCTTTACACCTCGGGAAATCCATGCAACCACTTTTATTGCAGCTAGAGCTCAGGGTCAACCCGGGAACAGCCAATCGTTTTAAGCATCTACATCTCTACCGGATAATGCATCCCACTGGAGAGCTGTATCAACCGGCAGGTCACTCCAAGCGCTGTCCTTCACCCTGTTCTCGCCACCTCGATTACATGAAATGGAACCCCTTCTGAATCACGCTGTACCTTGGATGTTCGCGCCGGATCCACTCGGATTCGGTTCCCGCAACAGGCGCGGCGGGTTTTACAGTTGCCTCGTGGTTAGAACTTTCCCTGTACCTAGACACCTTCGAGCCGGCGCAATGCGGCCGCAAAACTCGCCCTGCCGCCGTCGCGGGCGCGTCAGAGAGTCTTCATCGAGGCAGCTCGAGGGGACGGCACGTGCGCGAACACGTGACCGTGCTAGACGGCACTGACGTTAATACATATTTATTTACTTGTAGCGCTAGTCAATCGTATCATAAAGATGGGCTTAAGTCATCCCATCATTTGCAGTATTTTCTCTCCCTAAATAAACGTTAATTAATTTACACGCGTTGTTCAAATGTTCCTCTGAGTCCTACCAGGCAAATAAACGCTGGCGTCGTAGGTGGATTTACTAGGTCGAAGTTGGGGGTTTATGGCCCAAGGGGATATAGCGTAAGGAGACTCAGGGACCGGCCCGCAGTGTGCCAAAGCTTCTCCTCTTCTGGGAGAGATCCCGGGTTCGAATCCCGTCGGGATTTGGTCCCTGATTTTATGCCGGCCTCGACTCGGCACTCGAATATGCCTTCACACCCGCTTGCCGTAAAGTTGACCAAAGTCGTGGAAGACGAGGCGATGTTGGTTGCGAAAGTGTGGGGTGGTTAGATCCCTAAGCACTACCTGAGCACTTATTAGGGTGGAAAACAGAACGGTGATCTCGCCACGACGCCGCATCAAGCAATAAGGCCTGCATCAACACACCATCAGCCCCTTCACTGGACTTCCAACCTTTTATAAATGGAACCCGGGCGGGTATTAACGTGCGCGCATTTTGGATTGAGGGGCGCCTCGGTTGCGCACGTCTATTTGGGCCCAGAGGATGCCTTTTAATCCGGTTTATATTGTCCTATACTGTGGCAATGGCTGGTCAACAACCCCTCCCCCTCCATCGTATTTGCGTAATCCGCTTTGCAAGCGTTTAAATTATGCATATGTTTAATTGTTTGCACCCAGGTATCGGATAGTTCCCGCCAAACTGGACGTGCGAGTTTGCGCAACGATTCGCGTTGGGATCAGTGTCTAGCGCGACAAACACAGTGTGATAAATTTCATCATCAGGTTTTTCGCGACAAAACGCGTTCTGCTAAGCCACGTTAGCCACAAATTATGCATAACCGCTGCCCGGCACTGCCAATCACCAAGCGCGTCAGCTACAAATTCGCACGTAGTCCGCATTAATGTGGCAGCTGCCCCACGTCACGCAAATCTATTTTCCACTCAAGCATCGCTCGCTCGATTGAACCGGCCTGCGAAATACCGAACGCTTCAACCGCCGACTAATTGTCGACGCTGCCCCGCACGCAAAGGCCAGGACATTTGGGGCAATCCCCTTCGAGCACCCTCCTGGCTGTCGGCCTATCTGCCTCGGTCGCTGCCGCCGCTACCTGTCCGTCTTTAGAAGCGCCCGTTTGTTGCGCTTTTAGAACGCCTCGCTGAGCAAACAAGACGACTCCCCAACCCGGCAAGCGAGGCCAGGGCTGCACTTACGCATACACGCACGCACGCACTCATCCAGCCCAGCCCTGCCCGGCACTTGCCTCGTTCCTCTTTGACCACGAGCCACCCCAATTGCGCTTCGACCCACAACATACAACGAGGTCGCTCAGGCCGACCAGCAGCAAAACGCAAACTTGCTTTGTCGCATCGTCCTGCAGGCCGGAGCATTATCGGCTTCCCGAGCGAGACTGCCAGTCACAAGCTCGCT